GATCTTGGCGACCGACCATCGAGACAGGACGCCTTTCACGCGGCCGTGTTCAGCGCGACCGCGGCCCTTCCCCGGGTGTGCGCGGCGATGTCGCTGTACCTCGACAACAAGGCGACGGAGGGGATCCTGCTGCACCCGGTCCAGAGGAGGGTGGTCGACGCCGTGGACGGAGTCCGCGACGTGCTGCAGCGGCTGCACCCGGCCGAGGTGAGTTGTGTGTGTGATTGTGTGTTTTTTTTGTCATCAGCATCGACCGCGCTAACTGACTGACCAATGAAAAAACGTCAGTCTCAGTGCGGTTGGAAACACGTGCAGCGCTTGTAGAGGCCAACTATTTTGTGTGTCTGCTAGTCAGTTAGCATCGACAGCGCTGACGAACCGGCTGAGACGAATGGAAAGACGCGAGTCTGAGTGCGGCTGAACATGGAAAATGAAAATTCTTCATTCTAAGCTTGGACCGCGCTAAGTTTAACCGGCTGACCAACGAGAGTGCGTCAGTCTCAAGTGCGGTTGAAAACTAATAAATTCTTCACCTCTGTAGGCCATGATCTGGGACAAGCCCGTTCGTGATGGGGCATGTTTGGCTCGTGCTCTCTGACGCTCTCTCTCTCCCTCTCTCTCTCTCTCGTGTTCAGGACCTGGAGGAAATTATGCCGCTGCTTACCCGAGTGTCCCAGCTGGCCCTTAGCGCCGGGGAGGATGGCGGTAATGCCCCCCCCTCGCCGGCGCAAGGAAAATGACGGCCCCCCCGCGGCGCGGAAACTTTGATTTAGCATGTGTAATACCTATAGTGTTTGTGTGTGTTCTCATTGAAATATCTTCGTGCTGCTCTGATTGTGGTACTATAGTTCTGCTCTAATGTCTTGATCCCCCTACAAAAGCGGCGGCGCTTGTGGGCACGGGGGTAACATTTTTTATGGGTGGCGGATACATTGTAAGAGAGAGAGAAGGAGTGTGCACCCCGCCGCCCCCACTCGCAGCTGCTGCTGCTGCTGCTACTGCTACCGTTGTTGTGCGCCTATCGAGGGGAAAAGCGAAAAATTGTTTTTTGGAGATACAGTAAAATCTTCCCCAAAGAGTGAAGAGTCGAAGAAGTCGGTGGAAGAAATCAAGAAGATCATTAAAACACAATTTTTTTTGGAGGAGTGGTTCGGAAGTCCGGCGTTACGGTTTTAAACTTGGTGCTTCCGAGGGCAGAAGATGGATGACGCAACCTGCCGTAAATGCTTTGGGCCCTGTGATAGACGTGTGGACGAACTTGCGTACTGAGGGTGTGATTTTGTAGTTTGTTTAGCTGCTGGACAACTAATTTTGAATGTGCGGGATGTCTTCTCTGTGGTGGGGCGAAGGCTTCCGACACATGTGCGCTAGTTCGAACTAAGGTGTGATTTGGTGGTCTGATTAAGTGCGGGGCAATTGATTGTGAATGTGCGGGATGTCTTCTTTGAGGTGGGGCAAAAAAAAAATGGACGCATTTACGAACGACTTCGAGAAAGAGGTTCTTGGCGGACATGCTCCGGCCGATGGATTGGTTAATTGAGTTGATCGCCGTTTTTGCGTCTGTCAGACCAGGAGATTGGAATGGAACCATCAGTGGCAACGGTGCGCAGACCTCCTATGAGCAAGAGCCTCCCGCCCGCGGCGCTCAAACGCGCCCTGTTATTGAACGTTAATAATACCCGTTCGAGAAATTACCATACCACGGCAGTAGTCGAAGAGCAAGAGTGAAAAAGTCTTCGCAGTAAGTTCAGAGAAGGAACGGGGGGGTTCAAACAGGCCAAGGCCTTGAGCGCAGATCAGCACTACCTTGCATGAGCACCACCACAAGAGCAACAAGCCAGGCCAGTAACGTTACAAGAAATAGCGACACGCGAGTGCTTCGCTGTGCCTGCCAAAGCAAATCACTTCTTCTCTCACCCCCACTCATTCCATTGCTCGCACTTTTTTTTTTTTTTGCACAAGTATCTGCCTCATGTTTTTTCTTTCTTTCTCAGCTGCGCCATCGAGTGAACAGGAAGCGGGGTTCAATTAACCGCGAGTAGTAACGCGAGAGCCAAGTGTCGTTCTTGTTGTCGTGAGGGTTTTTGTTTTCGTTCGTTGTCTTTGATGATGCGCACGGAGATGACGCTGTATTTTTCACATGTTGTTGCTCAGCATCATCATCAACACGAAGCCGACTGTGGGCGGATTTCAGGAATATATCGATCTGCATGTCATACAGTATGTAGCGAAGTATACATCCGTTTTCTTTGGCTATATATTCTACATCTGGACGCCCCACGACACACCGTATCAGGCCACCAGGAGGGTGGGGAAATACCCTCCCGTTGCCGCTCGTGATATTCCTAACAGCCGTCAACCGCGATCAACCAACAAGTAGTGTCGACTCTACAATTTTTCCTATTTTTCACACCGCGTTGCATTTTCGTGCCTCTCTTCATCCCGGGCATCTGGCCTGTCGAAAGCTCTCTCACAGTTAGTTAGTTGTCTTGTCTGCACACTTCACTCGCTGGAAAAGGGTTTGTGGCACGCGTTGAAAAGGATTTGTGGCGCGCAGTTTCCTGATTGGTCAAAAAACACCTCGCTCGGCGGTATTTCACATCTCCTCTTTATCTGGTGCACCCCCCCCTTTTTCTTTCCCTGCTGTTGTACGGAAAACGAACACACACGCACACCAACTTTCTCCTCCGTCGTCATGAAGACCGATGATCGATTCAAAACGAGGTGCCAACGAAAAGATACAGCGAACCAAGGCCCTAGGGCAAACGAGCAAGATAGCCCCAAAATTAAACTCAACCAACCCCGAAAGACTTGCTACAAAGTATGCAAATAAAAAAGAGTGAAATAAAAAAAACGGAAAAAAAAGAAGAGCAAGATGGCAGAGAACAAAAACGGGGAAAAAATCCTTCCGATCCACTCCAAGAATGGAGGTTCGCCTACAAGCACACCCACCCTTGGAACTTGTACGTATGCACCGCTCAATCAGGCAGAACCAACCTCTACCACTCAATCCGAAAGAGGCTACGATCTCAACACACCCCTTACCACACCACCAACAACCAAGATGGCGAGAGGAGAGCGAGAGTATCGTCGTCGGGATCGTTGTCGTCGGCCAGCCCTAACCCCGACGCCACGCCCTCCTGATGGCCGCTGGAGAAAAAATAGGACGTTTACTAGGAAATCAACCCAGAAGGGAGAAGACGACTCTTTTTTTTTTTTTTTTTCTTAGTATGACACTTTTTTGTTTTTTGCCACGCACACCTGGCGGATGACAGAATAATAGTTGCGGTACCCTCTGTCCTACGTGTAGACAACCTCTCTCTGCCCTACGTGTAGACAAGAGAAGGCTAACGCACCCTTGCTACAGTAAGCCATCATCCATGCCGGGGAAGCTAGAGGTACTCGACCACCAGGCCAAAGCCGGAGGCCCCACAGGTGCTACGGCCGTTGTCTAGAGAATGAGAGACAGCTGTACAGCAGCAGTAGTGCCAGTTAGGATGCGAAACAAAACGGAAACACAAACGGATGATGTACACGAAAAAAAAAAAACGGGGAAAAACTAACGCCGTGTGTGCATTGCACGAGGCCAGGCCAAACTCCGTTCTTCAGGCGAAAACAAAACGCCTACTTGTACGGCACAGCGGAGATATTAATTAGCGAGAGAGAGAAAATCAAAACAACACACACACTTACCATGATTCTCACCCTCGGAACAACGCCAATGAAGAGCAAAAAAACAAGAAGGAAGGCCAAGGACCATGCTCTGCATCATCAACTACAAACAGTACTCCACGTTCCCGTCCCCTCTCTTCTGCTCCTCTCGCCTTGGCACATACATAACGCAATTAAATACGATGCTGCATCAAGGTTTTTTCCACAAAAAAGTCGCGTGCGCAGACCACGATTTCAAACCACAAACGGGCAGGCCCTGTGAACATACCTACACGACTTAACTGTCCCTACTACCGGTCTGGAGACCACCGCCATGCATCATCTCGACCACAACCAACCAACCTACCAACCCCCTTCCCGCCCCCCTCCCCCCCCCCCGCGAGCACGCGGTGCCCCCCGACAGTAGTAATAGGCTAGACAAAAAAAAAAAGAAAACG